GTTCAAGAAGGAAATTTCATTTTCTAGGTTATTTCGACCATGTAGTTGATTAAAACGCAAAAATTCTCTACCTTATCCTTCGATTCTGTTTTATTTACAAACAAGGAAAAAAAATAGATAAATAGATAGTTTAGGAAAAGAATTTGGTTCTCTTTGTTTACTATGAATTTTTCTTCCTTTTATTATTCTGTTTTAAATTATTTATTCTTCTGATTAAGTTTTCCTTCTTTTATTTTAAATATGTGGTATTATTGCTTAGGTGAGCTAAATTTTTATACATTTATGCGTTTCATTTTGAGTGAAATCCAATGAAGTTACCAATGAAGTTACTTACTTTTCTGATTGTTTTCCTTTTTTTTTTTTAAATATGTGGTATTATTGCTTAGGTGAGCGAATTTGTTATACAACATCTACGTGTACAATTTGTCGCTTAATTTTGAGTGAAATCCAATGAGGTTACTTTGTTTAAAAACATAAATTGAATTTATTGCGTCCTGACAATGTATTACATTGATTTTATAGTTTACAGTTTCATAACAAACTAACATAGTATTGATGTAAGTACACTCGCATATTTATTTGAAAACGACGTGTATATATCATTCGCTATTTTAATTGTAATCGCTGCGGAACATCTTTTCTAATTACATAACAATTACTTTGTACGACCAATAAGAGAGGGTTAATAGAGAAACCGATGTTCCTAGATTAATTAGAAAATTCTTGAATTTAACTATCAAATTAATAATTCGAAACGAATAATTTTACCTTTTAGCAAATATTACCGCGCCCTCCACTTTTCCAAGTACAATCATCGAAATCGACACATCTCATTGCTACATTATTATAACGCTCAATTTTTACACCACATCGTTGTCCCACGATATAATTCCATTTTCGAAACGCAAGAAATATTCTCTAGAAAGGGAAAGGAAGCTCTTTGTCGATTATTTTCAACGAATTCGTACGCCCCGAAGGACAGACACAACATACGAAGAACACATGATCTATGCGCATGATTGATGAGTAATGATCGTAGACCTATGTACACGGAGTCAGCTGTTTACAATAAATAAGTCTTTAATAAATATACTACTAGATTAATAGGTGATTCCTACAAAGATTCGTAGCGAGGTCAAGACATTTTTCTGGCGGACGCTTCTCTCTCTCTCTGGATATCGCAAAAGTCTTTAAAAGCGAGATTCAAGGAGATGTTTGCGCGCAAATAGAATCTCTTCCGGTTCTCCTTCGACTGTTTCTACTTTTTTCAGCTTTACACTAATCCCTTTTACAAATCCATTTCTCTATCTCTGTCGTGACAATATAAAATACTTGGCTATAGCGACTACACTCTAGACAATGAACATTTTCTTTTTTAGAGTTTCAAAATATCTCTGGTCGCGTATGCTAGTTCTTTTTCTTTCTTTTCTTTCTTTCTTTCTGCTTCTTCTTTAAACTTACGAAAAAGGCAGTTCACTATGTTTCCATGGAAATGCATAAAAATACCTTTCTATTATTGCCGTTTCTTTAGCGCGAAGCTTTTTCGATATTGCGAGGTTCGTACCTACGGATATTTAGAATTATCGCTAATTTCCAGTAATCTCGGTTTTGCTCACAACGAACAATAAATAATTTACAAACAATCCTCCGAATGATCTCTCTCTCTCTCTCTCTCTCTCTCTTGCAAAAATTAAATTACAAACAAACAAAATGAACACAATATTGTAATCGATTCTAATAAATCAAGATATGATGTAACATTCTACAATTTTCATTCGATCATATTAGCAATGATTTCTTTCATAATTTCAACGATACATAATTAAACATTTTTTTTTTGCCGTTTTAATTTTATGGTTGTTGATCGTTATATATTAGTACCTACGATAACGCATAATATCTCGTTCACGATATCTCAGCGCTAATTACTATTCTCGTGTCTATCGACCGATCTTATCGTAGAGTTTTACAAATTTTTGGCAGTCAGGTGTTGCCTTCGTTAGAATAAAGAACGCCCCAATTTTATAACCTTATACGTTAACGTTACGAGTAAATATCTCTATAACAGCGGTAATACTTTTCTCTTTCTCAGTAATTTAATACTTTGGATTTCTCAAGAACCGTACAAAATTATTTGTCCTCTCGTTCGAAACCTTAAAACCTCGTTCGAAAACCACTCATCCTCCTGGAATTATTCATTTACTTATTATTGCCTCGTCGTTTTAAATGCGTCAGTTCGCGCACGCAACGAAAAAAAAAAAAGAAATACTTGCTACTTCCTGCAAGGAACAGTCTAATCGTTCCAGCGAACACTTTATATACGTTTTTACACGCACGATCGCCGCGAATCGAGAAAAAATCAAACATTCTTACATTTTGTCCGGAGAAGGGGCGAATTTCTCGAATACGTTTACCCTAGAAGAAAAAAAAAAAAAGGAACGTGATAGGCGAATGGATCGCCGTAGACCGACGCGAACAGAAAAGATAATTCCCGTTGATCTCATCTTCCGCGAGAGAATACCGCGAAATCGGAAATAACGTTGATCGGTATCGCGTCGTCCGTGTGTATGAAACGCAGGTATACTTGGTGGAAGAATTATAAAAAGGTAGTAAATCGCGACGTTAGATGGAAATTTCGATTGATCTAACCGCACGCAGGGCCGTGCACGCATCTCAGGGTACGTGACCATTTGAGAGTGAAACTATCGCGAGTTGCTCTCGAGAGTGAAATTTATCGGTGTACGCTGTATCGAGAGTGCAAGCAGACACAATTCGAGAGAAACTCTTGAGAGTAACTGTCGTGAAAATCTCTCAGATGAACACTTACCCTTGTCGAAAACTCCTTAAATCTCAAGTCACAAATGTCGAGCGAAATACGAGAACACTTGGTCGGCAATAGACTTCCATCGGCCAAACGGCGTCTATGATCGGATCAGTATAGATCAGCAATTACCATTTTTTCTGTTTTTATAATTTTCTTTAAACATACTGCAATCAGAGAACTGGTTGCCGAGTTGACTTTGGACGGCCCTGAACGAGGCTCGAGTTCCTTATTTCACGCAAACTGATATTTAGGCAATCGGATTTCATGTTATTTCAGGCCTGTCTATTTTCACGACCTGGCTATACCTCTTCTACCAAGTACTGTTCCTTCCACGGGGATCGTATGCAGGCCTAATCTAATCGTCTCCTTAACCCCTACGTTTATATCGTGATATTACCTTCGAATCTTCTCCCAGCGATGTCTCAGCTGTTCGTCGAGCTAGTCTCTCATCGTCCACGTTCCATCCCTCCCGTTTAACATTGCGTATTGTCTCATTTCCCGTGCTCCTCGCTCCCGTCTAAAATACTATTATTACATCTTTTAACTACGAGATGCTCGCTGCGCTAATTAGGACGACGTATCGTTGGATAATGTCTCTCGTTGCCGCAAGGAATCAGAGAGGATCACCAGGGAGAACGAGACGGGAGCCGGTGTCGACAAGAAGTGTCGATGGTAGAGAAGGTTCTTACCGATGATTCAATAGGAGCTAACACAGCCACGAAGACGGAGAAAATAGCAAAAACGTTCTGGTGTAAGAAGAAACAGGTTGGGGAGGGTTAAAACCGAGAGATCTGGCTTGGCTTGTGAGGCGTGTCGCGGTAATGAGCTCTATCGTTTCGTACGATTAGCGTATTGAATATTTGACCGGTGGGATTACGACGTGGGATGTCCGTGTATGTTTCGTCGAGGCCGTGCTTATTAGAGAGAAAACAGAAGCTGTATCGTCAAATAAGGGTCGATCGCGAGTGATCAACGAATTCATTCATTTCCGTACGACTGATTGGAGAAAACATTTCCATCAAGTTACGAGCAGAAGAATCTTGAGAATCGCCATTAAGAAAAGAGGGTTACACGGACCGTGAACACAGCTGCTCGTTTGCGTAATTAGCTCATTGACTGCACTCGCGAACGATCAGGGAACACGGGTCTGTTCCTCACCAGACGGTGGAATCGTGCGCTTAAAGATTAAACTTAAGTTTCGTGCTCGTTATGTGTCCCCATCGCCACCGTTTGCTCCTGCTGCTAGCTGCTGGCTGCTGGCTGCCGCCGCCGTTTCATACGACCCGTCCCTTCCCGTTCGTAATTACGTCTTTCGGAATAAACGGACCCGTCCCTCTCGCGACCAACACGCCCCTTCGTGACGTACCATTCACCACACCGAACGGTTCATTCCATGTTCCAGCCCTCTTCCGTCGACACGGACGTCGCATCTTTTTGCGGCGATTAGCGGAAAAGCGGCTCAGAACTGAAGCGAATCGGGGATTCAAGTTAATCAGATGCTGCTGATATCTGCTTCGACAGGTGTCTAACGGATGGGAGATTCGTGCCGAAACTGGAATTTAATACCTGCTCTCTTTTGCATTTTTCGTTATACGAATCTCGTATTTTCCATCGCGTTTCTATTTAATCGAGCTTCTACTGAATCTTCCTTTTATGCAAAATAGCTGGCAGCGTTAAGTAATTAACTGTCAATAAAATATGATTTGAACGTTTCTCAACATTTGAAATTCTTAAAATAGACATTTCCGATTAAAAGAACCGTTTTCTATGTTAATTTCTTGATTAAGAATAAATGCTGTGTTGTAAAGAAAAAATGTTGAAAATTTATAATATGTTAAATTTTTGTAATTACATTAACCTTCGGGTTATATTTCTTTTAATAGAACGACACCTTATAGAGTAGAACATGAAAATATCTGTCTCTGATTATTCCATAATTCGTCTCCTTGAAAAAAAAAAAAGAATCAAATGACCCATATACCTTTCGATTCTCTCCGTTTCAGAGCCGCTCGCGGGTCGAAACACCGAGAACTCCCCGCGCGAAACACTTCATGCGCACGCAATCGTCATACATGAATGTGAAGTATGTTGTAAATCGTATCGTAGTATGATTACTATGTACACGTAAGTTTACAATGTTTCCCGGCGGAAACCCGATCGGGGAGCGGCGCGTGGCTCACATGGCCAATCTCTCGAGCAGTATCCCCGGGGTGGTCGACTGAATAGTTTCCGGTATGTCGAACCTATCGCTGTCGTCTGCATCGTCGATTTCTTCAACCGACTTGTTCTCCTCCTCGAACAGCCTTAGCATCGTCGAGGCGGCGCCGGTTTCAATCGAGCTACTACCGAACATCGAGTTGATCGTAGCAGTCGCGTGCTCGTTCGAAAATGTCGAAGATGGGTCTTCGTCGTTAGACAAGGATTCGGATAACAATTTCGAGGTGTCCTCCTCCGTGATATCAGACAATTCGACGGAGGACGGACTCGAGTCTCGGACAGATCGGTCGGAAACGGTATCAGGAACTTTCACGGTCACCGATTGGGCTGAGCTTCGATCGAGCATAGTGGCAGTAGTAGTAGTAGTAGTAGTAGTAGTAGTAGTAGTAGTAGTAGTAGTAGTAGTAGTAGTAGTAGTAGTAGTAGTAGTAGTAGTAGTAGTAGTAGTAGTAGTAGTAGTAGTAGTAGTAGTAGTAGTAGTAGTAGTAGTAGTAGTAGTAGTAGTAGTAGTAGTAGTAGTAGTAGTAGTAGTAGTAGTACGAGGACCGATAGTCCTCGCGTTGTTCGAACCAACGTTCCTCGATGAGGACGATTGCTTGGTCCTGCGCCTAGGCGAGTTCCCTCTGCCTGAAGGGCCGGTTGATGCACCAGGAGACCACCAAGAGGAGGAGGATGTTACGGAGGTCGGTACGGAAGTTGCCGTGGGCACCGCAGACGTGTTGTCCGTTCTGCCAGGCGTGAACCTCTTCCGGGCCAGAGGCACTGCTGAGTTCCTCCTCGCTGCTGGTCCTTTCTTCTTTTTCTTCTTCCCGTCCGTCAAATTAGGCTTTTTACTTTGACTCATGCTGCCAGCGGCGTTTACTTTTTTTGCGTTTGACGCTGGTGCTTTGCTCTTACCGTTGCTGCTCGCTGTGACGTTCCTGCTACCAGCTGTCGTTGCTCCTCCACCTTCGGCCGGCTCTTCGACCCGCAGCTTCCGTTTCTTAGACGGGACCGAAAGGGCCTCCCTTCGACATGCTTCCTCGCTAGCCGCTCCCTCGCAGGATCTTTTCGACTCCGGCGAAGTCCCGTTCGAAGCTAGACTCTCGTTCCTTCCCAGAACCACTGTGCTTCCGTTCTCCTCTGCCATTTGGCACTGCGGACCCGGCCTCTCGCCTGGTCTGCACCTCCGCTTCCTTTTCTTCCTCTTCTTTCGTTTGCGACACCTGAACTTGTCCCTGCCGTCCTTTTCCTGTACCGGAAGAGTGGGGCAGAGTGACTGTTGGATCATGTCACCACGATGGTTGTTGTGCCGATGACGAACGTTGTGCTGTGCGCCAAGCATCCGCCTCTGAAGCGCCTCTACCCGCTCCAAAGGGGCAACTTGAGTTAACACCCGCACGTAGGCGGACAGTCTACCTAGATTGTGTCCCCTAGCCTGTACCCTCCTCGGCTGGCCACGACCGTTCAACCCGAGGTACAATGACTTCTTCGTCGTGGACCATTTTACCGAGGTGTACGTGTTGTAGTTGTGCTGCTCGAGGGTCTCGTTGAACACGCAGTCATCTGTGTACTCGCGCTGAAACAGAACATCGAGAAGGGTTACTTATTTTAAGCTGCGGACCACCTTAAGGAGGCTTAAGGTTAAGCAAATTGATTTCGCCTCGAGAATGTTTCGTGCCACAGCAATGTCTTCTTCAGAGATTTATTACGAATCACGTGCAGTTCTTCGTACGATTTTTCTTAATGCTCACATTTATTCCGACATTCTTTTCTTATTTCTGTTGTATCAGCTTTGAACCGAGATCGTTTTAACGTAATACTTAAAATATCGTCTATCTTATAGATAAGACCCCACAGTAGAAGTAATCGAAGCTACACAAACAAAATAGTAATTTTTACTTAACGAAATGTCGAAAGGACAGAATCAACTACAAATTTCATCTTCGTTTTACACTGTCGTTAACCACTACTTGCTCCGACCCGTTTTTGTCACAAACATTAATTCTCTGAACGATTTGCCGAATTCCACGTTCGTTTCTTGAATTTCCATTGCCACCCTGATAATTCCTACGTACACAATCTACTCAACAATCAAGTTGCACCGTGATGAAAGATCGAAATCAGTAAGATAGAGTGAAGAAAAGTATTCTTGTTCGATCCACGCATAAATCTCTTCCCTAATTATTAGAAGCGTACCCTCGCATAATCTGGTCAAGTTCCAAGAAACAGTAAAGAATTTTGCGATCATTATCACTGGCATAGTCCAATTACTCGTCATTATCACGTTGTAATTGTACAGTTTGACGGCGAGCGCAGCTTCGTATCCCCTCCGTTTAGTAGGCAATTGCGTTTCGTTGTGCTAGCCAGCAGCGGCTGCAAAACGGGGCTAATGCGGGGTGAAATATTAACGACGCTTCCTGATGGAAGGTAAATGAGTATTAAGCATAACGCGGAACCAGCCCAACCGGCCAGCGACGGCCTCACACCAAGCATTATGTTTTCGCCAGCGTTACACCACGCTGTGATTTCGCTGTCCGCTTTATGGTAACTCGTTTCTAGACGAGCGGAAGTGGCCGTGCTCTTCACCGGCTCTAATTACAGCATTTATCCGCTCGACTCGCGGAAAAATCACCAGCAAGCATACAAGCGAGTGTAAAGATTGCAAGCGACCAAACGAAAAACTGACTTTACACCGGCGAAACATTCTGTTCGCGTGCCCTTTCAATTTACGAGTCTCAGATACCGTCCCAAACTGGTACACTTTCAAAGTCGATTTTGTTTTTGGATCAATCGAGAACGATCAGCTTCCATTCCGCGTCATTTTCGAACGAATTTTATCGTCTGTTCGAATCGCACACGGGATTCTGTTTTATTTATGTAGCTATCGCGATTTTGTTTATTTATAGAATTAATAGATACGTTGGTGTTACTGTTTATACTTGTGAGTAATGGGGCACTCAGTGCATAAGGGCATATATAAGGCATCCAAAAATAGGTAAAAGTTTGGGAATTTTTTTAGAGGTAATTACTAAATGAAAAATGTCAATTTTTTTCGGAAGATATAAATGCAACTTTCAGCTTTTTTTCCAATTTTTGAAAAGTAAAAATGTTACAAAATAGAGGAGTTATTGCGAATCTTCTTCTGTTGAAACATCTACATCAACGTTGGTGTGCAAAATTCAGGATTGGCGACTTTTCATTGGAAATGAGCCAAGAGGAAAAAAGATATCAATGATAACATCTTAAGTAAAATTATTGAAAACTATCCACAGTGAAGAATACGAAATTTTGCCACATACTCCCTTATTCACTATTTCCCCACGATTATTTAAACAAATAAATTATCTCGAAATGAAGATATTGTAAAAGTAGTACTTAAAGTATATTTGAACTCAAAGATTAATTTTTATAAATTTCGAAAAGTGTATAGAAATGCATAGAAATTATTTTTATTAAATTTAATATTTTTTGAAGAAACACAGTGTATCTAAAGATTCACTAAAAAGAAAAACGACATTTATATGCGTCAACCTACTTAGTAGACACTTAAAACGGTGTTTCTGAAAAATAGCTAGCTTTCATCGTCCGTGTTATAAACTTGTCCTGCGAACGGTCTTAACATCGCGTCTAACAGAATTTTATTGATTGATAATAAGATAGAAAAAGTCTCGAAAATCCCGGCTGGAGAACACTTCAAAGGTGTAGCTACATAGCTGTGAGTTTGAACCGTTGACTATAACAGTTAAGATAGTAGACGCCACTTGGCAGTGAAAATTCGACGTGCGGCAAATCGGGCTTCCGCCAGAATTTACACCGAGGCGATACGATTACGTTCGCGAAATTAAAGTGTCGTGAAGATAGAGGGCCCGCGAAATCGTCGGATCGATAAGGGGAGGCGATTTTATAGCGAAATGGTTGCACGAGCCGCGCTTCGTAGTATCGCTGTTATTGAGTCGTAACGTTGCGAACGTGGGTGAAGTTCAACGTTTATGACTGTAACTTTAGAAACAGAGGTGTCATAAAGGAGGATGCTCCGAGGAGATTGCGCTTTATTGGATTACAGAGTGTGCGCGAAGTGAGTTACGCTTGTTCAAACGCATCTTTGCGCTACGTGCATTTTGTGAATGAGGAGAAAATAAGAGAAATGAAACTTCGTCGACTTGGGAGGGAAAATTTTATGGTAAGCATGAAGATTGTTAAATTTGTGCTTACTTTTACGTGTAATAAAGAGGATTATGCGATTTTTTGTTTACACCTGTTGCGAAATATTTGAAGATCCGAAAATGTAATAATGTAATTGTTATAAATATATCTTTTTTTAAATGAAAGTTTTGCGTTTGAAATGTTCAGTAATCAATTTGTAAAGCAAGTGAAAGCTAAGTATCTTTGCAGAGAAAAATGCTAGGAGAGCAATGGCGGCTCGTAAGAATTTGCAGTGAAAGTAAAAAAAATCAATATGGATTGAAAAAATTATATCATTAATAAAATTAAAGGTAATTATTTAGAAAGCGAACAGCATTACTGATTTTGATGATTTTTAAATACATTGGAAAAATCAACATTTTGAGCAAGAACTTTCATTTTATACTGGAGGACTGCAGTCCTTATGCACGAGCCGCCACTGTACGAGAGAATATGGCTTATGTTACATAGTATGATTCTAGAAATTATGCAAAGTTATGATAGTTCTGTTCCAAGTAAAGTTAAAAAATATCATAGAGGAAAAGATTGCACTCTTTAATAAGCTCTATCATTCAAAGTGCATCGGTGCACTTGCAAAGCGCAAATATACTTCTTTTTCAAATAGAACAACATAATTTTTTTAATATAAATCATTTTTTTTTATTCTGCGAATAAAAGGCATAAGATAAAGTAATTGAAAAATTAATACTTTACGAGATATTTCACTTGTATTAAAAATTTACATTCAAAATTGCATTCGAAGTATTTCTTCAAACGTTTCTTCACATTTTCCATTACACTGTTTAACTGTTCAGTATTCGCATTTAAATAATTACTCCTAATTCTTTGCTTCAAGAATACACCTTGTACCAAGTGTCATTCTGCTTGAAATTTTGATAGGTATCACAGATTCACAAGAGAGTTGATAAATCGGATAACACACACCAAGTTGTTATTATGACTACTGAACCACAAATTGAGCGATTGATACATGACTGTAATTTTGTTGCACCAATCTCCTTCTATCCTTTTAACTCTGCAACAAGTCAAGTTTGTGAGTTATAACCGACACGTTGAAACTATTTTTTAAATCGTGTCTCGATTTCAATTATGTCCTGTGAACACTGCATTCGTATACCGCGAATAGAGAAGGGTGTTAATTAACCCTTGCACTCGGAGGTGATTTTGCTATAGGAAAGGTTGCAAATCAGATATTTAAAATTTTTTCAAACTAACGTAGAAATAAACTGTGCTATTTTATTTAAATATTCAATGGTGAACAAATTTATGAAGGCCCACTGATCTGCTTTCTGTCTTCATTAATTATTTATCAAGTGAGAATTATTTAATGTCGCCACTCGATTCTGAGGCGCCACTGGATTGCAAAGGGTTAAACGTCGAAGCCAACTTCAACTACTTGCTACAGAAGTAAGATTTACACTTGGTCAATAATAAATATAAACAGAAAGTTCGAGCTTTCAAATGAAGTGTTGAATTCCAAATAATTTTCAGCGAGACAAAATCGTCTTACTGAAAGACAGTTTTCAGTTTTAAAGATAATGAGATAATGAGAGCATAATTCTTTTCGGGTGTAAAGTAGATTTGGATCGAGAAGATTCATCTACGTCTCTCTTTCTCCCAAAAATTCGAATTTTCATCCTATTCTTATAATACGTTGGCAAAAATGTATCGAAAATTCTAGAAATTATTTGAAATAAAAATGTTCAATTCCAGTGGAGTTACGTTTTTTCAACGTGAACGTCATAAAACCGCGGGAACATTCAGGATGACTTAATAGAAGCAGCTAAATAGTAGCATTTACTCGATCAAATGTTGAGTTACAAGGTTTCCTGTATGCACAGTGGACGGAGAATAGAGAAACCGAGGAAAGTAAAAACGTTTCTACGAGAATGATTTTCCTCCTGTGATCAATCGATCGATCCCCGTCAATCGGTTCCTTTTTCTCGCGGGGAATAAGATCGAGGCGTATTCTCGTGAAACAAGCGACTCACATTCTGCGAAGCTAAAAAGCAAAATTTCCGTCATTATAAAAAGGCCAACACTATCGAGTGGAAACGTTGCGGTTCTTTGACGATGTAAATTTGTACGGAACAGGTTTACAGAGCGTGTAATTAGAAAAAAGGATACACGCGAGACACGTAATCTTTCGGGACGAGATGTAATTACAACGAGTTTAGAGATATTGTGGTTCGCTTACTGACAGCAGACCAGAATCTTCAATTATCTGCACTTGCCAAGTGCGTATTGAGCGATCAAAGCCGTTTCGTTTGCCTCACTTCACCATACTTTACGCTTGTTGCCTCGGTGTGCTAACGTGTCCGAACATATGTAACTACAGATTTTCAATGGTGCAACTCTTT